CTGGTTGTTCCACCATTCTGGTAGCTGGGCTTTCATATATATAGATAATGAATGATGTGACAATATGTTTAAAATGCGTTAATAAACCACATTACACAACAATATATACAGTATTATTCTATCTCATTAACAAATACATGTCATATATGTGTGAGAAAAAGGGCAAAACAGAGAGTAGCATTTTAAGAGTTATTTGTGAATAGTGTAATTGTGGATGATTACCTTTTTCTTTTTCTGTTTATCTACTTTATAATTTAATTTAATATTATTTCATATTTCCAAAAATAAAACCATACAAAATAATGTACTTTTTTTCTGATTAGACTAGGACAGAGCAACTGAAGTTTTGGTAGCAAACAGAATTTGCTATAATTTACGTGGTTGGAGTGTTTGCATTTCCAACGTGATAGGTCAAACAGATGTCACTACTTAAAAATTCCTCTTCATGACACTAAGCAGATTGGTTTCAACATAACTACTTTCCCAGACCAATTTTCCCTTAAGAAAACTCTAACCACAGCCATCTACACAACTATGTCCCTCCTTGAACAAAATGTTAACCTCATTTGGACATTTTAAAAGTTACTCAACACTAATATTAGCAAAGAATTGCATAAAAGGTCAGTTCATTAAATATGAAAATACAATGACCACATTGTTGATAAGGCATTTAATGTAAAAAGGGAGCTCACTGAATATTTAGTATAAATACTTTTCTGACTTAAGATCTCTTCTAGCCGAGGCCGGTTTGGCTCTGTGGATAGAGCGTCGGCCTGCGGACTGAGGGGTCCCGGGTTCGATTCCGGTCAAGGGCATGTACCTGGGTTGTGGGCACATCCCCAGTGGGAGATGTGCAGGAGGCAGCTGGTCGATGTTTCTCTCTCATCGATGTTTCTAACTCTCTATCTCTCTCCCTTCCTTTCTGTAAAAAATCAATAAAATATATTTAAAAAAAAAAAAAAGATCTCTTCTAAAGTTTTCTTTAAATTAACAACATAATTCTTTTTTGGTTATTTATTAGACTTTAAAGGAAGAGTTCTTTATGTTCTCTCTCCTCTCTTATTAAATAACTTAGACACTCCAGAAAATTCAAATGAACATGAAGACATAAACTATAGTTCTACTTGTTAGAATGAGAAAACAATGTAGAAAAAAGTATATCTTTGTACTGCTTTCAAGACAACTCATGATATACCAGCTCAACAACTTTTTCCTGTCCACTTGTAGACTGACAATTTTCATAGCTGCTCCAAGATGGATTTCATCTCCAAATGTTTAGAAACACCATAAAGAAATGAAGAATCCATATGCAACAACATAAATGAAACTGGAGGCCATTATGTGATGTGAGATAAACCAGACACAGAAAGACAAATACTTTATGATCTCACTTACATGTGGAATTTAAAAAGTTAAACTTACAGGATGTTGATTGCCAGAGGCTGGGGTTGAGGAAATGGGAAACTGTTGGTCATAGGGTACAAAATTATTATTCATTTATGAGTAAGTTCTGGGCAATGTACAGCATGGTGACTATAGTAAACAATACTATTTTGTATACTTGAAATTTGCTAAGTGAATAGATTGTGAGTAATCTTTGCACACACACACACACACACACACACACAAAGGTAACTCTGGGATGTGTTAATTAACTTATTGTGGTAATCATTTCACAATGTATATGTATATAAAATTATTTGATATACAGTCCCCCCCAAATCACATTGTCCATCCTAAATGAGTGATTTTCAACCAGTGTGCAGCAAATATTTTTAAAACATACAATGCATGACTGTTTAGTCAGAGGCACTGACCTCTCTTCCCTTACATTGTCAAATAAATAAAAAAATGACAACAGCCAACACAGCAGCCATCCAGTGTAAATGGATCAAAACATTACCTTCCTTTTTGTCAGATTGGCAAAAAAATGTATTTCTATGTGTACTGCAGAGTTTTAGTAAGCTATATATATAAAAGGCTAAGTGACTGTCCAACCATCCAACCAGTAGCTATGATGTGCACTGACCACCAGCGGGCAGATGCTCAACAGCTGCCAAGTTGTGGTGACTTGGCAGCGGTGGTTCTAGGGTGACGCACCCAGAACCAGAGAGGAGGGAGCCCAATTCTGTGGTGTATCACCCAAGAACTGCCCTCTTGCAATCCGGGACCACTTGGGGGATGTTGGAGAGCCAGTTTTGGCCCAATCCCCACAGGCCAGGCTGAGAGACCCCACCTGCCAAAGGGACCCCACTCACTCCACAGACGCCCTTTAAGCTGCGGCGCCACCGCGGGAGGTTAGCTCCAGGGCGTGTCCGGCCTATCTCGCCCAGTCCCGCCCCACTGGCCACCTTCTAATTAATTTCCTTTAAATGTGCACGAATCCATGCACCCGGGCACTAGTTAGTTTATGTGTTCCATGAGATGAAAAAGGTTTAAATACACTGACCTAAATATACGCAATTTTTTAGTCACTCATACCTCAATAAAGCTGGAAAAAAATCATAATGAAAAATAAATGAAGAAACAAGGATTTCTCCAAGCATCATGATGACCCTTATGGGGAGGGGTGGTGCTGTGGTGATGAGAAGGGCGAGGAGTGGGAGGGCAGCTTCTGGAATTCCATTAGTTCTGTTTCTTTACCTGAATATCAGTTATACTGGTGTGTTCACTTTTTAAAAATGCATACACTATGGTATGTTCCACAGTTTTATGCAATAATAGCCACATTAATATTGCTCAGTTTCTATGAAAATTAACTATTTGTCCTGTTTGCAAAGAATAACTTCGAAGAAAAACATGAAGTGAATGCCTGTGCCTAGATCATGTTGGCAACTAATTAGAATAGATTTCAACAAATCATATTTAAATGCCTCTGAAGTTGGCATGGTTCATCTAACTAGTTTTGCCATAATCTTGGGACCCCATTTTTCCTTTCTAGTGTGAAATTACTAAATTTAAATAAAATAATTATATCATGAAACTTCAAAATCACAAAAGCTATTAGCAAAATGTCTGCTAAATGGTTTTGGATGTGTTAAATAAGTATGCCCAAAATGCTTTAGACAAGGCTGAAACAAGTCAAAATCAAAGACAACTTTTCTAGGAATAGGAAAGCCAAACATAAAGAAAGTCACAGAGACATTAAGGCAACTGTTGATCCAGTATGTTAAGATTCCTAATTTTCCCCAAGCCTCAGTTTTCTTATCTGTTAAATGGGCATCCTTACACTAACCTCTTGGTTGGTTTGGGATGAGAGAAAGCCTATATAATGAGCTTGGCAGTACCAGGAACAAGAGCACCATGGAATCCATAGAATAGTTCTTTGAAAAGATAACTGTTCTTCAAATATGATTTCATATCCTCAATGTATTTAAATGGGTGAGAAACCATTTTAAGCAGCTTGATAATTTTAACTCTTATTTATAAGTTATTTCTTATTTCCTAATATGAAATTTTAAAATCACATCCTAATTTGTGTGATCAACTCAAAATGTTGTTGCTATTGTTTATAATCACCAGTTTAAATGTGCAATTTATTCAATATATCATTATGAGTTAGTCCTATTGTCTCATGTCTTCCAAGAAAGCATAGCTTTTTTAAAAAAATTTTACCTCAGTCCTGCAAGTGATTTGAGCTTTTATGCCACTGTCTATAAATCATTCATTCAACCAATATTTCTTATTAATAACTTGTGTGCCTTGAACTGCTGCTCTAGGTCCTGGAATATAATAAGCATCAACTCAAAGACTCATTCCTCCTGGAGTTTTCATCATAATAGGGAGAGAATTAACAACAACTTTAATAAACAAATAAATAATATAGTACAGTAGTGGGTGATTCATGCTATGAGAAAAAATAAATGAAGCAGGGTAAGGAAGACTGGAGAGGGAAGGGTAGTTCTCATTGACAAAGTGACAGTGACACTTGAAGCAAATTAAGAGTTAGCCCTGCCATTATCTGGGGGAAGAGCATTCCATGCAGAAGGAACAGACTGTGCAAAGGCCAAAGGCTGGAGGTGGCTCGGGTGTGGCTGAAGCAGAGTGAGCAAGGGAAGGCAGTGGTGCAGAGGAGCCAGAGGTGGGTCCCTGGGAGCACTGCCGCTTTCTCTCGCTGTGAAGTGCAGTGGTTAGTGCAGGAGGAGCAGGATGCAATTTGCTGCTTTAAAAAAAAATGTGTCGCACTTTAAAAGGATCAGAGGATATGCTCGTCTGCTGTGTTGAGAAGGAACTTTATAAGACTAAGGATAACAGCAGGAAGACCAGTTAGGAGGGGATTGTCCAGATGAGAGATGTGGGTGACTCCAACAAGCACTGTAACAGTGGTGGGGTGGTCAGAAGTGGTTGGATTTGGGATGTATTTCAGAGGAAGAATCAGGAGGAACTTCTGACAAATGTGTATGGGGTGTGAAAGGAGATAAGCAAATGATTCCACTTCATGGAAAATTATTACGAAGGAAAATATTGTATGTTTTCATTTAAAATCTTACATATTTTAATTTCCTCAAAGTGTATTCTTTCTATTGAATTGTATGGAATGAAACTACAGGTGAAATATAGAATAGCTTTGTTAACGTATTTTTCAAAATGCTAGCACTGTGAGCACGTGTGTCAGCCTGGAGCAGAGGTCTCTACAAGGAGGCTTGTGTAACTGGCCCGCCTGCCACGCCCCTCTGCTCCGACCTTTGGGAGGACAGCTGTGTGATGGATGCTGTCAATTTATTCCATGTCCATCAACCAGAGTTGAAGTGGCATTTGATGATTTCCCTCACTGGGATTCTGCTGGCTTTTGACCTTGAACTTTCCTAGTTTGTGACTTCTTGTTTTTCTTTGGCAATCTCTGCCAGGTTGTCTTAAAGAAGAATTTCATTTTACTGTCAAAAGAAAATTACTTCCAGTTCTTTCATATGTCAAAATCCTGTCATTTCTGCAGGTGTGGCTCATTGTGACTCAGGCTATGAGGTTAGGCTTGATTTTATTGTCACTTTCTTTTCTTCCAGCTATCTAAGAGCACACCTCCTCTGACTTCTTTCTGTGTGTCACAGTGGGTATTGTTACATAATTGCTTTAATGAAGAATGTGAGCTGTTTCATCTTCTTAGTTTCTACTTGTCAGAGGTAATTCTGCCACAAAACTTTTCCAATCCCTAAAGGTTTTATTTGACATTCTGATAAATTGTGGACTATTTGAAATACTTATTTAAAATAAGTAAATGTATGTTGATTGATTGATTAGTGAGAATCTGGGTCTCTTTTTCTTAGAGACTCTGTGGACTCTAAAAAATGGTGAAGAGGGAATATATGAATATTGCATATATCTCATAGATTTCAGTGAATATAAGATTATCTCATTCTTTTGCAGTGTCTCTATATTTAAAACCGAGCGTGCTGAGGTCCTCGGAGAACACTGTCTTGTGGACAAGAACGTGCTTCCCCGGCTCGGCTCAGGGTGCGAGGTGCGTGGCTGAGCGCACGTGGCCTTGGGCAACCACAGGACGGCGCTGCCCAGAGCAACCCATTCCACCTGAGCAGCGCAGGGCGCACCGGGCCATGTGCTCACCTGCCCCACCTGCCCTGCGCGCTGCCCCTCCCCAGACGAGGACTATGGGTGAGGAGGAAAGGGTGCCAGCCACACGGGTGAAGCCCAAGTCCAGGGCGGCAGTGACGTTCGGGGACCTGGCCATCTACTTCTCCCAGGAGGAGTGGGAGTGGCTGAGCCCCGCGCAGAGAGGTCTGTACAAGGACGTCATGTTGGAGAACTACCAGACCCTGGTCTCTCTCGGACTGTCCCGTCAGAAGCCAAATATGATCGCCTTGTTGGAGAAAGGGAAAGCACCCTGGATGGAGAGATTCGTGAGAAGACCCCGCGGCCTGGGAGGCTGCAAGGACAACAGACGCGTTCAGGTGGGTGGGGCTGCCTGCCCCGCATGGAGGCAGGTCCCGCAGCAGAAAATGCCTGAAGAGCAATGTACCTCTGAAACTGAAAGAAGGCGAAGGCGGCCCGGGCCACAGAATTTATCTGAAGAGCAACTATTGGCAAAACGCAGATCTGCAGCCGAAAGGAGCCGGCGTTATCGACAGAAAATGTCTGCAGAGCAACGTGCCTCTGACACTGAAAGAAGGCGGCGTTGGCGACAGAACTTATCTGAAGAGCAACTATTGGCACAACGTAGATCTGAAGCTGAAAGAAGCCAGCGTTATCGACAGAAAATGTCTGAACAGCAACGTGCCTCTGAAGTTGAAAAAAGGCGGCGGCGCGACAGAATGTATCTAACGGGGAACTATTGGCACAATGTACCTCATTAAATGTGAGGCTACACGTGCGATCATTTCTCAAAAAAAATGAGCAGGTTCAAAAATTAAATGAAATTTTGGATGTACTCGGAGATTTTCACACATATTTGAGTGATGATTCCATTGATTCAACAGATGATGCTGAAAAGGAAAATTTTCCCATTGAATTTCTTAGTAGTATTACTCCTTCAGGAACGCCGTGTCATAAATTAAAATTGAAAGTGGGTACAATCATCATGCTACTGAGAAATCGTAATAGTAAATAGGTCTTTGTAATGGTCCTCGATTTATTATCAAAAGATTGTGACCTAACATAATCGAAGCAATAAGCATTTAGGTTTCTCAATGTCTTTTCATAGCTTGAGAACTCATTTCTTTTTAATGCTGAATAATATTCCATTGCCTGGACACACCAGTTTATTTAGTCATTCCAAGTTGTGGCGATTATAAATAAATGTTTATTCTACAACTATTTTTAAATATTTACACTATAAACATATATGGTCAGGATTTTGTGTGGATATCAGTTTTCAGTTCCTTTGGGTAAATACCAAGAAGTGCAATTGCTGGATAACATGTTAAGAATATGTTTATTTAGTAAGAAACCACCAAACTATCTTCCAAAGTGGCTGTGCTGTTTTGCTTTCCCACCAGCGATTGTGAGAGTTCCCATTGCTCCACATCCTCTCCAGCATTTGGTGCTGGCAGTGTTCTGGATGATGGCCATTCAAATGGGTCTGTAGTGGCATCTCATTGTTGTTTTGATATGTATTCTCGGGTGACATACTATGTGGCGCATCTTTTTTTTAAGTATATTTTATTGATTTTTTACAGAGAGGAAGGGAGAGGGATAGAGAGTTAGAAACATCGATGAGAGAGAAACATTGATCAGCTGCCTCCTGCACACCCCCCACTGGGGATGTGCCTGCAACCAAGGTACATGCCCTTGACCGGAATCGAACCTGGAACCCTTTAGTCCACAGGCCGACGCTCTATCCACTGAGCCAAACCGGTTAGGGCTATGTGGCACATCTTCATGTGCTTTTCCGCCCTCCATACATCTTTGGTGAGGGGTCAAAATCTTTGGCCCATTTTTAAATTGGGTTGTTTTCTTATTGTTGACTTTTAAGTGTTCTTTGTATATTTTAGATAACAGTTAGTCTTTTGTCAGTTGTGTCTTTGGCAAATATTTTCTCCCAGTCTGAGACTTGTCTTTTAACTCTCTTTCTATTGTCTTTCACAGAGCAGAAGTTTTTAATTTTAATGATCTAGCTTATCATGTTTTCCTTTCATGAATCGTGTCTTTGGTGTTGTGTGGTATTAACCTTACAATCTTTCCTCCTAGATGGGAATGACCGTTGGGAGATTTGCATCTCACAGGTATGGCCAGGATGTCCTATGAACATGTGTATCACAGTGTCACAGTGGCCAAGTTCATTGGGTGTGCAAGAAACATACTGTACAAGAATAATAATCTTATACTTAGGAAAAATAACTTCAGCCAGAGCCTTAAGTTTCTTGACTCTCCTCATAGTAAAAAATCTAAGAAACATGGTGTTATATCCAGCAAAATAATTACATTCATCCAGAAAAAGAAGAAAATGTAGTAACAATTGCATCCTTGTTTAAAAAAAAAAAAAGTAGAAAAGGAATTACTGATTTTAAAAAAGATAATAAAAACAAAGTTTAGCCCTGGTCAGTGTGGCTCAGTTGGTTGGAGCTTTGTCCCAAACACCAAAAAATTGCCAGTTTGATTCCTAGTCAGGGAACATACCCAGGTCGCAGAGGTTGTGGGTTCGATCCCCAGTCATGGTGCATATGGGAGGCAACTAATCAATGTTTCCTCCTCTAGTAACAATTGCATCCTTGTTTAAAAAAAAAAAAAGTAGAAAAGGAATTACTGATTTTAAAAAAGATAATAAAAACAAAGTTTAGCCCTGGTCAGTGTGGCTCAGTTGGTTGGAGCTTTGTCCCAAACACCAAAAAATTGCCAGTTTGATTCCTAGTCAGGGAACATACCCAGGTCGCAGAGGTTGTGGGTTCGATCTGGTGCATTGGTGCATATGGGAGGCAACTAATCAATGTTTCCTCCTCTCTCTCTCTCTCTCTCTCTCTCTCTCTCTCTCTGTCTCTCTCCAATTAAAAAAAAAAAAAGTTCAATATTGCCAGAATATCAAGGAAGACACTCCCCAGAGAAGGGAAGGGAGAACTACAATTTTCCCAAGAGAATGAAACTACGAAGGGATAAAGCTTCAAATTATTGTTTTCAGAAGTTCTTTAGTTTTTGTGTGGAAAGATAAGTGTGGTTTTGGTTCTTATCATTTCTTTCTAAAACACAAATCTGGCTAGTGGTTCCTTTTGAGGCAGGACAAGGCAGTCATTTTTCCTTCTGAGTGTCCTGACTCTGATCCAGTGTTGCATTGGAGCTGGACTGCACTGATTCGAGAGTCATTTCTGCTCTTACACTCCCTACTCCCTGTTCAATTACATCACATCGGTAGCTTGAGATCAGCCAAGATCAGGGAGCATTTACACAATAGAAACTGGCAGACACAGGAGAGATGTTGTCAGGGCTCCAAGAGAGAAAATGCCAGTTTCAGGCTGAGTCAAGAGAGACGACAATCATAACCCTTTTCCACTGCCAGAGCTGCACCCTCCACGTGGGCTCACCCTTCTCCTTCTCCCTTCTGAGAGTTCTTTTTTACATAAATTCATTTAAACGCATTCTAATTTGTGACCAAATGTCCTTAACACAACTCATATGTCATTGCTCTTAACTTTAATAATTTTCCTTTCTTCATTGCTTTTGTCATTGACATATTAATTCAATATGTAGCCATTTTTTTTTAAAAAAAAAGGCAATGTCCAGTCATTGTTAAGTGCACTGGCCCTGAAGTCAGATGAGCTGAGCCTGAATCCTAACTCTGCTTACTGGCTGTGATGTTATATGAGTTACTTATGCTTCCCTTGTATCAGTATTTCCTAATGCTTTTTGTCTGGTACCAGTACATGGTACTGAGAACAGTGCCTCACGTACAGTGCTAGTTCTTATTTATGTTTTGTATTTGCACCACCTGTATACAAAGAGATAATGTTAAATTGCTTAGAAAATCTATTTGAGAAGTTATACAGTGCTCTTGAAATTTTATTTTCAAATTCACACTTTAGTCACAGCCTCCTAATTTGCTGTTGATTTGGAAGAAAATGTCTAGCAGAGAGTATAACTTAGATAAATATTAGTTCTTCACTGCAAATTTAATTAGCATCTCTATGAGCTCCTATTTCCTCCATTATACAATGGGGCTATTAATATCCAGCTCACAGCATTGCCTAGAGGGCTCCTTCTGCATCTTTTTAATTCAGGACAAGCATAGAAAACAATCACATCTGAGCAGCTCACTGGGGTGAAGAGGCCCGGCTGCCTCCGCCTCAAGGCTCCAGTATCTTGACCCACCTGCACTCCACCCCCCAGCACCCCATGGAGAAGCTCTGGCCTAGGAAATCACATGCCGTGTCCACGAATGCCAGAGAGCCTGGCACACAGATGACACCGCATTAGTCCCACTTGGTTAGCTCAAATTAATGAGTCTACACCATATTGGATGGAAACTCACAAATAGCGCAGAGCCTGGGTGGTGTCTGCCGTGGATAATTTTTGTCACTGGGTTTTATTC